ATATTTCTGCTGAGAAAAATCTCCATGTACTTTTAGGGTTGGTTATGCTGGTTTAGTTTGTTCTTTTGCTGGGGTTAAGTTTTCCTAATTATTCTTGATTCTATATCCATAGTTTGGTGTCTGTGCACTTAAAGGGCTCATTTCACTCTCCTTTCCCTGATTGGAAAGTCTCTTTCTCATACTGTGCTTCATAGATTTTAATGAGAAGTGATTCAAGTATCAAAACTATTCTTCCTACTCTCTTCACTGTATGTTTTCTTTTTCTCTTTTTTGGTGGGGGGGAAGGGGTGGCACTGTGGATTGAACCTAGAGGCACTCAACCACTGAGACACATCCCCAGCCTTATTTTGCATTTTATTTAGAGACAGGGTCTCACTGAGTTGCTTAGCATCTCACCATTGCTGAGGCTGGCTTTGAACTTGAGCCTCCTGCCTCAGCCTCCCTAGCTGCTGGGATTACTAGTGTGCTCCACTGTACCTGGCAACCTGTTTTCTTATTACTGTGCTATAATCATTCATATGGATACTCAACTCTTGAAAAGGTATTTTCTTTTGTGAATAGTTGTTTAAATTGATACTTGTGTTAGTGACAAGTACTAGAAAGTTATATTCTGCCATCTTGCTAAAATTGCTCACTAGAATTTTTAATTTTTAAGTGTGATAAATGTATAAGGTAATGTAATAGAATGTCTTTATTTTCATTGAATGCATACTAAAGTGTCAAAATACATGTAATTTTTTATGAAATATTTCAGAGAAAAAGGAGAAACTCTAATGAGGAAGGAGGAAAAAGAAAATGAGATTAAATGTTAAGAATTTCTTATTCTATATAATGGATTTATGGAGGTTCATTGTATTATTTTTTTCTTTTTTTGGTAATGGTAATTGAACTTAGGGCATTTAACCACTGAACCACATTCATCCCCAATCCTTTTTTTAATATTTTATTTAGAGACAAGGTCTCCCTGAGTTGCTTAGGGCCTTGGTTTTGCTGAGGCTGACTTTGAATTTGTAATCCTCCTGCCTCAGCTTTGTGAGCTGCTGAGATTATACGCATGTGCCACACTGCCTAGCTATTTTTGTTTACATTAACAATTGTGATTATATTTCATGGGAAGAGAGGGATGTAGCAGATGAAGCACTGGACATATGGAGTAAACTCATTTTTTTTATTGCATCTGTACCAAGCCTATTTATATTTTGTCTGGGTTTGTGATGGGTGTTATATTCCAGATAAAATGCTAGAAACTGGTATGGGGATGTGGCTCGAGTGGTAGCGCGCTCGCTTGGAATGTGTGCAGCCCAGGTTCCATCCTCAGCACCACATACAAAGATGTTGTGTATGCCGAAAACTAAAAATAAATATTAAAATTCTCTCTATCTCCCTCTCTCCCTCCCTCCCTCCCTCCCTCTCTCTTAAAAAAAAATGCTAGGGACATAAATTGTGCCACTTTGGAGTTCTTGCTTGACCTAGTGGTCCTTCAGATTAGGCACATCCATTGAAAAATGGAAAATGAGATAGCCATACTGTTCAATGACTGGAACTTAGATCTTAAAGAACTTCAGTGTCCTATGGGTGTCATGATGCGTGCTTTTGTTTTCAGTTTTTATGGGTTTCTTATGTTTGTTTAGATTTTATATGCAAAGGAAAAAACACAAAAATTCTTGAGAAAATGATTCAAGAAAAATATAAAATGCTTAGCAATCTTAGTTCTATTCAAAAATAATAGGTAAGGGCTAGAGATGTAGCTCTTTGGTAGAGCACATGCCTCACATATGTGAGGCCCTGTGTAAATCTCCAACACTAAAACCAAAAGAAAGGAGAATCATGGTAATCTTCAGAAACTATTAGCAAGAAGAATCATGGTAATCTTTAGAAATTATTAGCTTAAAGAAAAAAGTGTTTGGGGAGAAAATCTGAAAAGCTAAAAACTAACAATGGACCAACTGATCTCCCAGAAGGTAATAACTGCTCAAGAATAAGAATTGAGGGAATAAAGGTCCAAATGCACAGAACAAAGAGTTGGTGACTGACTTTATAAGAGATGTCCAGAAACTAGATGACTGGTTAGTCACATTTCAAATATTTTTTATGTATTTATATTTTTTTAGCAGTGAATCTGGGTAAGAATAATCCTCTTTATGATGATTTAACCAAAGGTATGGGAAACATAGTAATCTGAAAGCCGGACTTTTATTTCCCCTCTACTTTATACCACCAGGCTAYCAGTATATGTTTACATACTAATTCATCCTCCAATATGAAGTTCCATGTTAATAATGTAGGTAAAGAGACATTTCTTGAGAAAATGACCTTTTCTTTATCACATTTGCCTAAGGAACATATATGGAGTTCCATGGGACAGATTTTCCACACCGACAAATTCCAAAAATAGAATTTCCTTTTCAGTTAACTCCACTTTCAGATTAAATAACTTGGCTCTTAGCCAACAAATTTTCTTGGTAAAGTTCTATCTTCAATTTGAATCTTTTTTATTAGTTTAGGAAAATAAATATATTTAATTGACTATATTTTCTTGAATTGAGATAGTGTGAAATAGCAATATTCTATATTTCTTATTCTATACTGAACTTAAAAATAAATTATTTTATTGTACTCTTGGTGATATGAATATTTTTGTAAAAATTTAGTTTATTATGGACTCAACAATAATTAAAATTTGAATATCATGTGCAATTTAGCAACAGGAAATACACAACAGTGAAGGCAATTTTGGTGTACCTTAAACTGTTTTACTATAGTAGCATAACAGAAGTAAAAGTCATAGGAATTTTTGCCTTAAATAGTCATGGCTTAGAAAATATAAAAGTAAAAATAGTGTACATGATAACTATGGGATGCAGTTAAAGTAATAAACATAAAATGATAATATTAAATGTTTATGTTCAAAAGGACTAAGTCTAAAAATAAATAATTGTCCTATTTAAGAATTCATGCTATTAAAAATAAGCCCAAAATAAAGGAGAAATAAATTAAATAAAAATTAAAAGATAATAAAAAGATCAACTTGGGAAAAAAAGTACACAAAAATTTGGTTATGACTTTTAACAAGCAGAAAACACAAGCAATATTAGTTGAGAGAGTATAAAACATATTTCAAATATATAATATGAATAAATATGTATGAGTGAATTKGAAAACATAGCCATAGATAAATCTTGAAAATACTCTATTGGATAAAAATATAAAACTAGGGTGAGACTTAAAATACATCTTTATTTATGCAAATTTAAAATGTATACCTGGAAAACCCCAATATAATTTGTGAGAACATATATCTAATTAAGGGCCTCTGTTAAACACAGTCACATAGGTGTCTAAGGCATGTATTTCTGGATTTGCAGGGGGAGATTGAACAAATATTTCATATTATAAAGATTTGCATCACAGAAGAGTGCTTTGTAAGGATCAATTATATGTGTATTATGAATTGCATATACATACAATTTCCAACACAATGATTTTGAGATGCGTAAGCAATTACAATATTGTTCCAGATAGGCCTCCCTTTAAGTGCTCACTAGACTCCATGAGACCCTAGTTGTTAGATGGTTTATCGGGAGTGTTATTAATTGGAGCTCAAATAAGAAGCAGTGGGATAGAGAGCAGGAAGATGCTACGGAAATCTGGAATCATATTTATGGAACATGGGAAGCACATAGTGGGCATGGAAGTAGGTTTAAAATGGCCAAGAGTAAACTTAGAGACCAGCTCTGGTGTGAGGGCTTGATGTATGGTCACGTGTAAAATGTTCTGTGGAGATATCTAATAGAAGTCCCAGAAGGTGAGCAAGCCAGATTTACATTTTATTGACACCTGCTGTCTAGAGTTGAAACTGCTTAGTTAATATGGAAGTAGCTAAATAATGGGAAGGGGAGTGTGAAATTCTACAGGTTAAAGATATGTGCTGGAATCCTATGAAGTCAGTCATAGGAGGTGAGTTAGAGGTACTTCCTGGACAAACTGAAGGACTGGAGGCAATTAGCATGTAAAGTTCCTGTTAGCATAGCTGCCAGAAGGCACCCTCATCAAATTCCAGGGATTGAGTCAAATTGAACTGAGTCCTACTCAGAGATAGCTAAGCTGGTATCTCCCCCAAAGAGGACAACAGAATCAGTAGGAGGTGAGATTTCATTCAGCACAGAAGTCTTGGGCAGTTTCTATGTACACTCATGAGACGCAGGCAAATATTATGTAAATGTCCCTCAGACAGTAGGTTTGGGGAAAATTACCCTGAAGTGCTTGTTTCTGGAATGCAGCTTTATTCATCATTTATGAGTACAATTTGTTTGTTTGTTTTTATAAATTCCTCTTATCCACCACCAAGATTGTTGGTGAGGTGCCTCTTCATGAACTGGTTATTTATCAAGAGGACCAGTTTCCTTTTGGCAATCTGTTCCCACATACTTTCCTAAGATTGCTCCTGTTTTTTTTTTTTTTTTTTTCTTGAAAAGTTCTTGGAGCTATTCCCCCAAAGGACGGTCTTTTAGGAATTTTAAAATGCTCTTCTACAGAGGAGCCCTGGATCTTGGGGCATAGWGCTTGTATACCTAGGGTACAGTGCTTCAGTCCTACGTTCTGCCTGACTATCTGAGCCTAAATGTTCTGATTCTCTTGAAGCATAAGCAGTAGTATAAATAGGTGCAACTGGGGCCCTGTGATTTCAAATCAATGATGGTCAAATGTATCATTATATTCCTATTCATTCATGTTTACTCAACTAACACCTGTAAGACTACATTTCTTAAAATTATCCATCATGTATTTTTCTATTGTTTGACCTGATTGACTGATAGATGAATAATTGTAAAGATTCATTTCAAAGGTCCAGAAGCATTTTTTTTTTATTTCCAGGCAGACTCCCACAATAATAAAATTCAGTATTTAAAAAGCTAAGGAGTTGTATGAGCAAAATATCATACAATATGATTAGCATTATTATTACAATGGAATATCAAATTAGATTCTAAGTAGCCAAAATAAAAAATATATATATATCATCAGAAATTGTATGTTTTGTTTTCTCCAGGAAGTAGAAAACACAATTTTCTCAGTGGAAACAAAGTGAACTCATACTTTCTAACACATTTTTCACATGAGACTTAATATAGAATATTTGAACTACAAAGCAGATAATAGATCTTATCACCTTTATAGAGCAAATACAGAATAAATTTTCACATGGCTGTTTTTTGTTAATGACTCAATAAAAGCTAAGTTTATGATAAAAGGCAGCTCAGTAAAGGAGAATTTGTGTGTTGATGAGCTAATGGGGCATTGTCCTCTGAAACTGAAAAATTGTAGAATCCCAACCATTTATGTCGTATTTCAGAACTCTTATAGACCATACTAAATCATACCTACTGAATTCATTGGAATAGCAGTGAGAGTTTCAGAAAAACATGTAACTGTGTGTCACAGCTGTGTTGAGGGAGGAAAGAAACAAAAACACAAAGCATGAGGGTAGTGGAGGGTAGCATGTATGGAATTTCAAGGAACACACATGAATGAGGAGGTTCAAGGTGCTTAAGAGAAGGAATTGCCCTTAAAGAAATGTTTCTGCCTCATAGAATCAACAAGAAATTGTATGACAGTTTCTGAAACAACTTTACATATACAGTAGAGGTGTGTCATATACTCTACTTGCTTGTGAAACCTCATCGCTAACCTTGGAAGTTGATGTTAGGAGGTTGAGGATATAGGCTAGAAAATTGCAGAAAACATTCAGATCTTCTGTCTTGGTTTGTGCATTCTTTCCTGAGATAGTAATTTGGAAATGTCTATTCTGATTTTAGCTCTCTTTGAAGGTTGTACTTTATTTTGCTTATCTTTATAATTCCATAGTTTAATTGGATGATAGTTTTTCTAAGGTATCAGGCAGCTTAGCAATGATTCTGTGTATTGCAACAACGTCATTATATACATTCTGATTTTTTCACTAGAAAATGTATTTGAAGACACCAGCTAATTTGTGTGTGATCATACATGTTTGCACATGGGTATAGTTGTGCTTAAACAACTTATCAGCACTACCTCTATCTCTGGTTTGCCATGTGCTAAAAGTATCTATACAAATTTGTTGAAAATTTGAATTCATACTGTACCCTCCCTGCCAATTGGGGCCTAATATTATAATGTATATTTTCATCTCTGTCATGTACCAAGATTTATCCCTCTGTTTCTACCTTTCATTTTATATTTATAAATACTTCATTGGAATTTTTAAATCAAGGTATTACATTGCACCAATAATAGAGTTTTTGGTTTTGTAGAAAATCCATTAGCTCAAAATAATAATTTAAAAGAATCTAATTACTTTTCAATAGTAAAATGTTCTGAGATCCCATTTAGAACGTCAATATTGTTTCTATAGTGTCCCCTGTTCATTAATATTTTTATCATGCTTTCAAAGTGAACAAAAGGTTTAAAACGTTTTAACTGAATCGCTGTATGATGATTTTGGTGATCATTACTATTTATTTTTCTGATATTTTGCTTTTAAGTTAAAGCAGCATTCAATACTAAAGTTATTTATATAAAAAGCACAAATAATGGGTCAGGTTCTCTATTTTTTAAAGGTACATTTTAAGTTAGAAAAATCTACTGTGTATGCAAAGGTATGAACAGGTTTTAGTGAATCCATAAGAGAAAATACAGTATTATAACACAGGGGATGCTATCACCTTGTGAAGTAGACCTTTTAGTTCTTAGAAGCTACTGTAGGAAGCAGAGGGAAATGTCAGTCCCAGCTTCCATATCACTGAATCCAGTACCACATTTTTTATAGCAAGGCTGCCCTTACCCTTGGCTACCCTGCACCAATGTGTTAGTATGGTAAGTGTACTGTAAGTGTACTAGTATTGTCTATTTTATGAGGTGTATGATTTCCCTAATAGAAAATTGGCTAGGAGAATACCCATCTATCTGACTGAACTTTGCTTAGAATTGTGTTCTACTTGATGAACTTTCTTTTCCATCCTCTTTCTTTCTCTTGTCCTTGCACCAGTATTATGGGCTCTCCTTATCTACTTAGACCCTTGACAGAAATTCCCCTTAATAAATCTCTTGCACCTCTAATCCTATTTAGTCACATTTCTTGGAAAAATGAAGTGACATACTTCTTTAAATTCTAATAATGAGGGGAGTGAGAAATTACTGAAAACAGCAACGAAAATCATTTTTCCCATTTGTTTTCTTTAAAATTTTTAATTAGTCATATATGACAGCAGAATGCATTTTGATTCATTGTACACAATTGCAGCACAACTTGAAAACCATTTTTTGAACAGTTGGGATCTTTAGAGTCTAAAGTAATTGAACTCGAAGGACCTAGGGACACAACTTTTCTACCCTAGGTTTCTTCTTGCTGGGGTTCCCAATGATACAAGCCAACTGAACCTGAAGTGGGAGGATAGTTATTCATGCCATTCAAAAAGGCCTCTGGAGACAGGGAGAATTGCAGAGGATGGAGAGTGGCTCTAGGGAGCAACACAGAAGACAGTGTTCAGAGGTCATTTTTTTTTCAGGATCTGAAATCATAAATATAAAATTACTCTATATGAAAAATATAAGATAATTATTTCTTTAGTTTAGCTGCTCAATATACAGTTATTTTCATTCTGGTAAATGAAACCCTGCTTTTCCATTGACAAATAATGCTTCTCCAATGTATAAAAGAACCCCATGTTAATTGGATGGGGTTCCCTTCACCTCATAGTTTCTGATACATGGGAGAAGCTTAAATGTCCTAGAGACATTTCACCTCACTGTGACCACAGTGAATGATTGGAACAGTGGAATGGCATCCAAGCCAGCTCAATGAATTTAATTCTCAAATTCTTTTGCAATTAATGTAAAAGGGACTATATAGCAATGCTGTTTATTGATGAGATGGCCTGTAGGGAAGGGAATCATGTCTGAAAATGGACCTAATAGAGTGAAAATGAGAATTGGGAGGGGGAGGATGCAAAATATCCTCAAAATGATTATTATGTGTACAGTAATGCCTCCCACAAATGCAGCATTATAATCATTATTATTTTGGGGGTTATTTCATTTATTTTCTTGCTCCAGTTGATTGGGCTGAATCTTGCCACCTATATCCAAAAGATTCCTGACTGTAACAGATAAATGGCTACAGGTTGCCCAAATATTATCTGAAACACTGGACCACATTATGAAGAAATTCAGGACGTAAAGACTGAATAGAGTGGGACTCTAAAAGAATTATCAAGATAATGAGATCCTACTGGATCCTGGAAAGGATTCTCTGACAAACTGAGAAATGACATTAAGCAAGAAGGCTACTRAAAATGAAGTTAACTGCACTGTGTTTAGGGAAACTACTTCTGCAGTGACTTTGTGATCTCCAGGTGTAGTCAACTGGAACTAAACTAGACTTAAGGAACCTGAACACATAGCCAGTGATAACTGTAAGCTTTTAGCTACATTTTGTCATATCTTGTGAACCTTCTTTAGGACAGGTCAAACAGATTTTTTTTTCAGTTTCTAACTGCTATGACCCAATGAAATTTAAGTCTGATTTTTCTCTGAGAAATGAGTAAAAATTCTGATTTGTTAATTTCTATTAATTATTAAGAGCAAATTACATCCAAGGTACTATGTTTTTGCTAAGGATATAGCAATAAAAGATAAAACAACAAAGTAACAGTTCTTATAGCTTAGTGTGGAAAAAGGAAGAAAAGCATGGATAAAGGATACAGTAGATTAAATTGTTGTACTATTTCAGTTTTTTAAGGTGCTTTTCTGTATAGAAGAGATTGGCAAACTAAGATTCATTTTCAAGTATTTCTTGATGCCAAGGATTTGGATGTAAAGGAGAATGTGAATCAAATGTGATTATACAGAAATTGAATTTGGATTCAAAATGAGTAGGGAGAGAAATTTCAACAAAAATATATCCATTTTGCTGATCTAGGCAAGGCATGGGGCTGGAAGTAGAGTTTGTAGCTGTTTTAATTCTTGAGTCATGGCTAAGATTATGTGTCTGTTTGTCTAGATCTCCTATGTTTCTAAGATTCTAATTATTTAAAATTATTTCTACCTAAGCTAGATAAATAGTGTTCCATCACAGATAATAGAAACCTAACAGAGTCAGAATTGTCCCTCTCTCCCTTTCTCTCTCTCATATATGTATGAATATATTGTCTATTGTACCCAATTGTATGTAATAGAAGATATATATGTGTGTGTGTGTGTACACACACACTCATATGTTATATGTATATGAATGATTGTAGTGTGTGCCTTCAAGAGAAAATGGCACACCTCAATAATAGTCCAGAAATGATAATGAGGCATGCTCTGGGGATAGTACATGGCTCACAAGCACAGACACATACTATATAGTACCTGTAGTGAAAACTCATTGAGAACTTCTGCCCTGTGGATCAGAGAAGAGTTAATGGATCCAAGGTTTCAAGGAGCAGAGACCAAGATGGAGAAATAGCAGTAACACATAATTAGAAGTGGGCAATATCTGATGAATCAGAGGAGGGGATACTGCAGAACCAAAGTCCTTGAGTGGGAGAGAGTGTTTCATCAAATGATGCCTTGGATAGATGTAAGAATTTTTCTTTTTTTCTAAAAGAAACAGTTACTGTCCGTAATATAAGTATAGTCTTGAATAAGAATGCAGCCCTGGTAATTTGAGAATTAGGTGAAATTAGTGATACGGTGTAAAGAATAAGTTGTCATAGGAACTCATTCTTGACTGGAAATGGGAGTTGGTAGTATCACAGTTATTGGTTAGTGAATGGATATTGAGATAAATAAATCATAGAAGACAGTACACTTTCTTGTGACATTTGGATAGATGAGTATCCCTTATTCGAAGCAGAGTAAAGATTTCTGATACAAAGGGGGGAAAATTCTTAACAGTGAAGTAGAGGTTTGGCACTGACAGACTTTAAGAACCTTGAAAACATGTATTCAGTCCACTGTAAATCAGCAGAAACTTAGGTTTGTTTACTGTATCTCAACTACATTAATTTATTGGCAATAGTTCTAGGAGAGACAAAAAAGAGACAAAACAATGAGGAAATTATTTTGGAAATTTGACTTACAAAGTCAAGAATTTTTATTTTTCTTTTAGCCAATTCCTTAAGAATTAAACGTCTTAGGAATTTAATTTATGAAGATATAGTATTTGAATTTTAATTATACCTGAGAATTTAATAACATAAAATGGAATTACATTCAAATTTGGTACATCTCTACTTTGACATTTTATTGAAGCATCTTGTTAAAATTTAATTTTAATGCAGAATTTCTGAAAAACTCTTTAGGTTGGTGAGAGTAGAATAATGGTTTTTGAGAAATAGAACAGAGTGAATTTTTCAACCTTGGGTTCACAATGATTGAATTAATAAACTCTCTTGACATTTGAGTCCTTATTGGAAAAAAATTAACTCCTGCACAAAGATTTTAAGACTTTTCCTGACAAACTGCTCATCTCCTTACTCTGATTGACTAGACATTGCTAAACACAAATCGGTATAAGGGTAAATATCTGGGGTATACTGCTAGTGGGAACTTTTCCTCCTGTGCTGTTTGTTTTCAATTGGATGGAACTCTTTGATCTTTCCATCCACCCTTTCTTCCTCCCCAAGGAGGGAAAAGTGACTTGTCCTTATTAGTAGGTTTGGAGAAGCAAAATAGACTTAGGTAATCAGTCACATTCCCCCCTTTTTTGTCCACGGTATGCTCATTTCTCAGTGGATAATTATGAATTATAATTTATTGCAGAGTCCAGTATTAGAATACTAGTTATCCAGAAATATAATCCAGAGTAATTTGTGTCTTCATAACTTTATCTTTTCTTATTTATTTTTTAAACTAGTTTAGCCAATTAGGTGTAGTTGCTATTAATTGGGGACTCACATAGCTACCCCATCAAAACCCAAAGAAAATATTTTTTTAAATCTCCTGGAAACCACAGAGCTGAAGCTGTGCAAGTGAAATGGAACATTTCTTCTGTTGACTTTGTTTTCTTTTTGTGAATAATCACACCAGAAATATTTATCAATTCAGGAAGTTTTAGAGCCAAATGGATAACATGAACAATTACATTCAGTTTGTATATGATAATGACTGGTGTTGATACTATTTGAACATTTTATTATTTTGTACTGAAATGTGTTTGAACTCTAATTAAAGTGTTTAAACTTCTACATTTAATTTCTGTATAAAAGAGCACAAGAAGATACCTCATTGGGCATCAAGGGTAAGGGGACCAGATGGCAAGACTATTAAACAGGGGCCACACATGAACCTCTTTTGCACTAAGACATGGAAGTTTGCAAGTCAAAAAAACCACAGGCACTATACCTGTGATATCTTTACCCTGATTCATCCACCTACCACATTTCTAAGTAAATGATATTTAAATAGTATAGACAGTATTCATTTTAGGAAAGAAATAGAATATGTTCCACATATTAAAAATGATACCTTGCAGGATCAGAGTGCTGGTGTTCTATAGTCTAAAGAAATACCACATTTCAGATAAATCCCAGAAAGCGAGAACTATGTTATGCCATAAGTATGTTATCAACCTGGTTGTCTGAAAATACTCATGAAAAATGTCACTGATGAAAGATGCCATGCTCTGGTCTCAGAATTATCTGTGAATGTGATTTCACATCAGATCTATTGAATAAGGATTCTGAGGTTGCAACTTTAGAATTTGGATTGAAAGGTGTGAGAGGAGAAAACACAGGTCTTAAGCAGAGTCAGTTTTAAGAATTGCTGATCAGCACATGCACATATTTACAATCAGGAAGATCAAAATTTTCAGGAAAAAAATAGGTATGAACATTATCAGACTGGATTAAAATGTAAGAGTTAAATCATAAGCCTACTCCTCAATAGGCATTATATAGGAGATCAGAAATCAAATGTAAATCTATGTTGCTCAGTGTCCCATAGTAATTTCTCCAATATCAACTATATGTGGTAGTTCAAATTTCTTCAGTTCTTCAGTTCAAATTTCTCAAAATGCCAAAGCTCCATGTTTTGGGTATCTTTGTCTAAAACTCCAACACCAAACAACTTGGCCTCTCCTTTCTTGGGTTTTAAATAAATAACCCAAAGTGCTCTTGGAATTTGAGGGGAAATAATAACCTGAGGAGATATGACTCGCTAGAAGAGACAAACCTTTGGTTTTTTGACAAGTGCAGTGTACTTACCGATTGAACAAAGGCATATATTAGGCAGCATGGAATCCAAAGAGCTACTTTATATCCAAGATCAGAAATCATTGTTCATTATCAGAGATTCACTAACTTTGTGAAGTAAAACATGTTCTATATTTTATGAGCGGGAAATTGACAGATTCTGATGAGATTCATTTCTGAAAAAGTCTACCTTCTCTATTGGGAGCTGTATTGATCTTGGAAAAGGAATCGAGAAACAAGTAACGTACCACAGAAACAAGGAAGGGAAAATATTACCTTTTATTTTATTATTGTTCTGTATCTTATTTATTCTGTATTTTATTTATTTTTTA